GGGCTGGAGTCCAGCCTGCTGACCAGTAGAGCTGCTTTCTGGGAAATAGAAAATTGCTGTGTTCTGTCACCTTGCTGTGAAACCTGGACAAATCACCCGACCTCTCTGGTCTCTGAGAACACTGGCAATAGGAGGGTCTAAGAAGGAGACTTCCCAAAATCCCCTCCCTGCTCTGGGCCTCGGTTTTTCTGGACGGCACATGGGCTGCCAACCCCACAAGGGTATATGGACATCTGATGATCGATGTGGCCATCTGGACTGTGCTGAGCCCAGCTCAGGACACGCGGGATGGGCAGACCTGGCCCAGCTTCTGAAGAGCTCGCATTCCGGTGAGCCCAACACCATGGGGTGCACACCTGGAGCCTCACAGAATCAAGTGTACATCAGGCCAGGGTAACACAGGAGGGAGGGTCATGAGCCCAGGGCCTACGGGGCCAACAGTGTGGCCGAGCTGGGAAGGTGGGTTTTCTCAGGCAAAGGACACAGGAGCCCCAGGAAGCCTGTTTGGTCACTGCTGTGACCCCAGCACTTAAGTGCCTGCCTAGTGTGTAGCAGGTGCACAATAGATGCTTTAGACAAGTGAATGAGTCAATCTGTTAGATGAGACTTCTGTGAAAGGAGGTTGGAATCTGGAAAGAGCTGCCTAAAAGATGATGATGACGATGACGATCATTCTGGCCAAAGACAAGGGGAAGGGAAGAGGTGATGTGAAAGCTCGAGAAGGCTGGAGGCCCAGGGATGGCCACCCAAGGCTAGACAGTACTGCTTGGGAAGGATCAAATGCGGTCAAGATGTGTTTTTCCAGTTGAATTTTCCAGTTGAGAATCTTCCTCGGCCCCAGGCCACATTTCTCTGCCTACTCAACACCCCCATCAAGGCCCAGCTTATTAAGCCCACTCACCACAGAGAGCCTTTTGGAGGGTGATGCTGGGGCGCTGCCCCCAGCCACCTCCCCTGACTGACTCTGGTAGTCTCTGTGCCTTCCAACTGCCAGGAGCCCTGGCCTTTCATCCTCTCAAATACCTGTCAGCAGGCTGCCCACTAAGGTTTCCCCATTGCTTTCTCTGGAGGGTATGACCTGGGTCCTCCTCCTGACTGGCATCTCCCCTATCAGACTAGAGAGTCCCCAAAGTGTCACCAGGCTTCCTTTCTCAGATAAGGGTCTCTCTGAGGGCAGGGACTCTTCCTCCTGTCAGATGGGAGGTCAACAAAAGGAGATACATTGAGGCCTTCCTGGTTGACCCCCAGCCCAGTAGGGACACTCCCTGAGGGCCACACAGAGAAGGGAAGAGGGACAGGCTGGCAGGCAGAAGAGGGCCCCTGACTGCTCAGCATCCTGGAGACACGTGAGCCAGAAGGGGTACTGGGCCACCCATGGGACTAATCCCTCATGGTGGCAAACTCACCCAGAAACCATTCCTGGCCCAAGCCCGCTCTTTTTTTATTTTTTTATTATTTTTTTAATGTTTATTTATTTTTGAGAGAGAGAGACAGAGACAGAGTGCAAGCAGGGGAGGAGCAGAGAGAAAGACACACATAGAATCAGAAGCAGGCTCCAGGCTCCGAGCTGTCAGCCCAGAGCCCGACGCAGGGCTTTAACCCACGAACTGTGAGATCACGACCTGAGTCAAAGTCAGATTCTTAACCGACGGAGCCACTCAGGCGCCCCTCAAGCCTGCTCTTGAGCCAAGAAGGCACCACTGGGGATGCCACCCGGGCCTCACGGCCTGTGCCTGAACCCCTCCCCGCTGTGGAGCATTGTGAGGTGGTAGTAAACACAGTGACCCTGCAACACGTGCATCCTCTCCCCGCCCTCCTCATATCCCAGCCCAAAACACGACACAGACCAAGAGGAAAAGAACAAAGGTTCCCAGACCACAACATCACCCGCCGCCTGCCTGTCCAGCGCCTGCTCAGCCGGAAACCCAAGACAAAGGCCTTGGTCAAAGTGAGGAGGATGAAGGGCAAAGGGTAGAGGCAGCTTAGCTTGGGGTGGGCCATGAGAGGACGTCACTGGGCATCTCTGGGGACCTAACTGGGAGGGGAGCAAGGACAAGATGGCAGCCAAGCCCTCCCTGCACACACACGCACACCCTTCCACGAACATTTATGGGACACCTGCTGTATCCCCCATGCCCCAAACATTGACTGCCTCGTCCCTCACCCCACACACCGTGTGCACACACTTCCTTACTCCCTGCAGCACATTCCACAGCCCTTAACACTGCCTCACCCCACACACACATCGCTAGCTCACTGGACACCCTTTCCACACTCCTCACCACACACCACACATAAACAGCTCACAGGGAGAAAAGATCACATAATCCACGCGTCACACTGAAAAGTCACACAGCTCACACACCCACACCTCACACCACACTCACACTCAACCTCCCACCATGCACCTCACACACCCCACACTCACCTCCCCAACCACAGGCACACACACACGTCCAATTAAATTCAACACGCACACCATCTAGACGAGACACACCCTGCATAGATAATGTGCACGCCTAATGTCACATGTTTGTGGCCACACACAGCCCCTCGGCATACACAATCCTGCCTGCACATTGCCTCCTCCCCCCATGTGCATGTGGGCGCACACACACACACACACACACACACACACACACACACTTCGTCAACCAGCCCCTTGCCTGGGACTCCTCGGCCCTGGCTGCTGCACTCTCCCCTACCCAGAGTTGCACAAACAGCCATCACACGGACATATGATGCTCAAACACCAACACACAGGTCCTAATACATTTCCCAAGCAAGCCTAGGATGTACCACAGAGAGTCTAAGCCACCTAGGCTGCAAACACACTCGGGCA